TTTTTTCGCCTCCTATCTGATCGTATCTCATTCATTCTCTCTGATCTCAAATTCCAATCAAATTTAATGCAAACTAAAATACCGTGGTATTAAAAATGTTGAACACATCCTGCATGAGGGCAAAATCGAAACCAATCGCGTAAATACAGAATTGACTGAACATGAATTTTGCCAATCATTGTGACACCAGTCGCTCGCCAAAACTCACTCGAACACGAAACGAGTGATAGAAAAAGAAAGAAAAAAATAAACCCTAACAGGCGTAATGACGCAACGTCAGGAAATGTTTATAAATAATGCTGAACGCATCGTTCGTGACAGAGAAAAATCACAGAAAAAAAAGTAGAGCACAAAACAGATCACCGAACGACGACGTGCAAAATTTTCGTGAATTACCGACCTAACCAAGCGAAAACGGGACGAAGAGAAACTGGCGACGAACAAAAAACGTGATCTTCTTCACCACTTCTGGGGCGGGTTGATCATGATCGTGTGATACGAAAATAAACCTGTGAGTGAATGCTTCGTGCCACTTGGTCGCACTCAGGTGCAGACTAACACTAACAGTCAGGATTTAAGATATAGGAGTTTATAAAGCTATGATCAGGGTGGTGCTTCAAACATTTTCATTCATAATCGTCGTCGCCTACTGCCGGTGCGCGTGTAGGTCTCCCTATATCGCTCGGATGATGGCGCACACATGGCAAGCCTACTTAGATCGTCAAACCGGTGACGAGTGAGTTGTGAGTTGTTTTTAAAAAGGAAAAGTGTCGCCAAATTTTCAACTTTTTTTTCTCGTTGCCGTCCCGTAATGACGTAATTGATTTAAGTTAGTCCTGACGTTGAGGGACAACGGGGATCTGGGTGTGTAAGAAACGTCCCAATGGCGACGAAGCGAACGGCGTTTAGCAGATCATTAAGAATTTCCACGAAATTCACAGAAACTGCCGCTGCTCGCTCTAGCGTGCGCCTTAGATCTGAAATTGAGTCATTCATTATTTTCAAGTGCACGGTCTGGGAAACCGGTGTGTATCTTTTATCACAACTCAATTGGAGAATCGGATTTCACTCATCGGTGGGATGATTCACAACAGAGTAGCAAATTAATGGTTTAGCAAATGCTGCTGAGCCCAGAGATCGAGTGACAAGTGTTACTCAACCATCACATTAATTAATGTTGTCTGGTCGTTCAGGGCACAGACAACCACTGGATGGTGGGACAGATGCAGCCACTGTTGTGTGTTTGGCTGTCTAGCCAATGATGACTAATGTCAAGTTGCAGATCTGGTATGGAGGTTTGTGTTATGGAAAGTTTTTGAAGAATACTGTGTGAAATTTCCGATACTGTGAATTCTAGGGTGCTCAGATTATCCGTTTTGCTCCACATTTCTTATGAACAATGGATAAATGCTTAGTCAAGATCGTCAAACCAGGTTGTCATTTCAAACTAGACCATTTTATTCAAAGGTGTGAGCCAACCTCTGGGAAAATTTAAAATGTAATGTTTTGGGCCCGTCTATTTCGACAGAAGAATCAGTTGAAAGAAACGAGAAAATCAATTCAATCAATCGCAATTTTCGTCGAGTTAATTTTATGTGACATGTTTGTTTACGTTCTATGACAATAGTTATTTCCTTTCCTATTTCCTAATCCTTTTTTAAACTTTTGCAGTTTTTGACAGATAATACTACATAAGCTCTTGAACACTCCAAATAAAAATGCTCGAAAATTATTTCTTACTCATTCCTTCTTTTAAACATGAGCAGTTCTTTGAAAAAAATAAGCTATAGAACACTGCAACTGAATATATTCGAGATTTATATATCTCTGTTGGAGTTATTTCCTTCTTTAAAACCTGAGCAGTTATTTGCGAGTTAAAAGCTATTTCCATGTAAAAATGTGGGTTTTAGACTACATTAAACTACAGACCATGATTTAGACTACACACCTAGATATACCTAATTTTACACGTGACGGAATCCATTTTTAACATAAAGGATGAGACGTAAACACACATTTCAGGCATAACATTTGATAACGGCACAAAAGCATTTGTAAAAAAACCTTCTAAGGCCCTTTACACGCGAACCAAAGTACGCCCACGCAAACCAACAACATCATCGCATAGGGGCAACTATCATCTTTCCGAAAGTGGTATTGGTTTGCATGGGCGTACTTTAGTTCGCGTGTAAAGGGCCTTAGAATGTTTGTTTACAAATGCTTTTGTGCCGTTATCAAATGTTATGCCTGATTTCATGTAAAATTAAGTCCTCCGAGACTGAAAAGTACGTTTAATTGAGTTGAATTTTGCGACTATTATTACTCAATTTTATGTTGACGCTCGCATATGTCAGTCTCAGAGCACCAAGATATACATGATTTTTTTTTAGGTGTGTAGAAAAGCGCTTTAAAACCTTGATAATTCTAGAAATGGTGCTTGGGTTGAACACTCAAACTTAAACTATTCGAAACACCTTTTGACCTTCTGTTCCTTTGAATTTAATTCGACCTTCTGTCCATATGACGTTCTTCTATTGGATCTTGTTCGTTCGACCTTCTGTCCATTCGAGTTCTTGCCTCTCTAAATTCCATTCGACCTTTTGTCCTTCGATCATTTGCTTTTCGACATTTTGTCATTGATTTACAGTTTTACCCCGCGACTATCGGGGTTTGACTCGCTAATCCTTGACCCATATTAAAAAATCAAAACAAACAGACAGCATGCTTACAGCAAAAATCAGAAAATTTACAGCACGATGCATTCAAATGCGTGGTTCTACTATTTAATCTAATACTTTCCGATTAACGAGATGAGCGGGAGGGTACTGTACTAATATTACTCAATGAGATATTTTCCAAAAAAAAACTACAAGGGACAGCCTTATGGGGTTGTACGCAATAACGACGTAGGACTACGTGGTCTTATATAATAAATCTTATTTTTTAACTGCAGCAGGAGCTTGGATTTTGTGTAGGAATAGGATTTTGAGTGGTGTTATCTCTGTTTATACTCTTTAGTATGACGCGCTTGACATAGATGGCCCACAGCGACTCACGAAGAGCTACTGATTCCGATCAATAGCGATGCGGCTTCTTCCTCTTTCTATGGATGCTCATGTGGGCTGCAGCTCGCTGCTTGCCGGCAGAGTTTAGTTGTGTACTGGAGAACACCACCACTCACCACGTGGTGATTGAATAAACATCGTTTGGTGAGACCGGATGGAATTCAACTTTGAAATCTGTGTTAGATTTCCCTTAGCTTTTCGCTTTTGCGGTGATAATTTTTATTATCATAGGAACAGTTGCACATTTGTGCAATTTTCAATAGTGACATTTTGAAAAATTATAAAGTCTTAAATTTAACAGATGCGTAGAAATATAGCTGATCGATTGGTGATAAAATTATTGAAATTGGTCCAGGGGCAGCAGAGTTATTAACGTTCAAAATCTTTCATAATTTTGTTACGTGTTCCATTTTTGGTTTTCACAAAGTGTACCCCCATATAGAAATCACAGACCTAGTCCTACGTCAACAATCTGTGAGGTTTTCCACGCTGGTTCTGGTTTACACGCGATTAGATTTCCTTTTTTGTAGTTTAATTAATCAGTGTTCTCGAGCAACATGTGAAAAGGTTCTACAAGGCAAACGTAAACGATTACGTGATTCGTGAGTAATCGACGTTCAATCGGTTACTCACGAATCACACCACATCCATGCAAAATTACTATATCATCTGAGAGAGTAAACTTTCCCTACCAGTTTGCCGGTTTGTCTTTATGAGACCTTATCTGCGCGAAAATTACTTTTATTGATAGCGTTTTTTTCAAAAATTCTCGACTACTTTTTGATGAATCAGTAGGCAAACCGATTCAGAAAGCTAGAATTACATTCCAAATACACTGAACCCACAAATAAGGATCGGATTAAAACACTTATCGATTAATCATTCTAGTGTGTGGAAATGATCCATATTGGATGTGTGTCAGTCTAGTGGTCTCCGGAAAATCGTGTTCAAAACAAAACAAAAATCTGGTTCTGGTGTTACAACAGAACCATGTAGCCTGAATAACACAAAGTTTAGGAATTAACCGTGTGAAAACGGATAATTATAATGTGGGATACGTTACACTCAATTCTGTGTTAATGCGATTTTTTATGATCAAATTGCAACCAAATTTAGAAATATAAAGAACAATCAGAAACAAAAAAAAATCACATAAAACAGAATTGAGTGTATTTTGGAAAACAAGCGTCAACTTCAATTTCTGTTTTAAACGAAAAAACTGTTTTTGAATTTTCCAAAAATAATGACGTCCCCTTTCCTCTTAAAAACACACCTCCTCTTTACAAACGATAACAATCCCCGATTGCTTCGATTGCTGAACTCTTTTCCACTTCTGAGAAATACAACGTTTACATTATCCAAAGCAATCGTGGTTCGTACGGTGGAGCATCATGGTACATTTGGATACCCTCTTTTTCACAAAACGGGGTGAGTCACAGATAAATTACTGTTTAGTGAAGTTAATTTCCCAGACGGACAGAATTCCGCGCCAATTTAAATTGTCCGTACCGTCTGGCCTTGGCATGATGCACGAAAAAAATAATAATAAAGCCTACGGCGACCGGCGCTGTGCAGAAAACATGAACTACCGTGGACGAACCGCGGGGACGGTCAGCATTTCCGTCTTGCTAGAGTACCGATTGCGAATTTTCAACCGTCCACCTTGAACTTGAAACCCGTTGCAGTGTGCACCAAACTATTCATTCGATTGCCACTGTAATCAGTCACGAAGGAGGGACACCAAACCGTCTAGTCGAAATGCATTTATCAACGCTGTCAAAGAGCCCAGTCAGACCAAATGTGTACCCAATTCATGTGTGACTGTTTTTCGTTTTATTTTGATCGCAAGCGCGACGCTCCGCTGTTGCCAAACAACCAACGCTAATGCGCCTGCTACGATTGTTTTTGTATAATGAATTTAAGCAAAATACTTACTGATTAGATCCAAAATGTCATCCGCTACTATGAGGTTATTCGGCAAATCCGGCAGACTTGGATCATCTGGAAAAAGGAAGAAACTTTGTAAAATCGATGGAAAGTACAAGTTGGCGTGGGAAAAACATTAACTGCTACAGTGGAAAACCAGATCACCCCACGCGTTGCTAATGAATGCGAGGAATGTTAGGAATTTTGAGAGTCTTCCACTCTTCAACATGATCGTATATCTCTTTTATATAGTCTGCGGCTCGGTGTTCGTGCCCTGATGGCTATCAAAAACTTCCGATGGATTTACATACGGTGGTTAATCAGAAATGCATAACTTAGTGGGGTGGCGTTCTACCACAAGAAAGGTGAAATGTTTCAATCACACCTTTCAGCTCTAGTACATAGGAACATAGGGGATAGTTTTGGTTGGTGTGAGGCATAAAGGAATGTGGGTGGTGAATTCCACCCGTCTACTGGCCGACATGGCTGATTTGCTACTCTAACGATTGCCTGTGAGAGAATGGAAACGAGTAGGTATAAACAATCGCGTGAGTCGGTACTATTCAAATGGGTCTGAGCAATCGATATTTTGGTTTGTAATGCTTTCAAGAAAAAAACAAGACATTCTGGCCCACAGAATAGTGAGTTGTTTATATAGTAGTAAAGTCATGTGTATGGAGCCAGAGTAGACTGGATGAAAGATTATGCAATTGAAAGAAATTCCTTCAGTTGGAGTACGATAAAAAAAAAAAACATTTCTAACGCAGAAAGTCAAGTTTCCTTCTTCTAAACACCCAGCTGACCAACCTTGAATCTGCATAGGAAACTATTACGATCGAGCTGATTTACCGTACAAACGATTAGTGTTATTATTTCATCTTTCACTCTTCAAAGCGCAAGTTTTCTGCTCGATTTAGATGTACATCGCCATAACGATCATCATCATCGAAGCAAGCAAGCAAGCAAGAAGCACGCAGCCGGCAGCGTTCTTGGATTAATTATTGCCTGCTGAGTTGAATGGCAAAAAGTGACCAGAAAGAGTACGCTACCAAAACAAAGATTGCTGCGGGAGAGTATTCTAAAATAAATACCCCGATCGGTCAAAGCAGTCACTGGTTCGTGCAAAAAGGAACCATCCAAACGCATAGTGATCTTTTGTTTTGTTGACATTCGGTTGCCCGTCTTCCTGACAAACAAGGAAGAAAAGCGACTGACGGGCGAGTTTTTCTTTTCGTTTTTCCGTTGCCAGCGAGCGGCGACTGGTGTCATTTTCCTACCGCTGCAGCTGCATTCGACAAACCTTGCGGCAGGTCCGAGCGACGATGACCCTAGAGCGCATATGTAAGTGGCTGTGTGGTTGTACGTGGCGTACTTGATCATGATCACGAAAGCGAGAATTTTTACATCTGACACTGACACTTTTTCCACGGCACGATGGCGTGCGCTCATGTTGTGAGTAAACAAAGGTTTCTAGCGGTAATAACATCATCATAATTCATCTCAATTCTGAAGGGAGGCGGGGGGTGTTTGCACAAATATTGCATTTCTGGATGATCCGCTTGTTACGGATGAACGCATAAATATTGACTTACAGTCAGCTGGTGGTGTGTCTTCTTTCTTGAAATGCTTCGATTTACTTTTATTGTGTATTATAAAATTTACATCTGTCAGTCAGTATCATAGCAGGCGTATTTTTTGTAACTGTTCGCTTTATCTCCTATATCAGCTAATAGCATACAATAAGTGATTTCGTTTTTAATGGTCAGTCCATGTCCGCGCGTAGGACCAAGTTCAACGACCATGCGTCGGCTCTTGAGGAAATAAAATACGCAACCCATTAGCTCATTTATGCGCGGCTCGATTGCAATGAAGTAATAAATCTGAACAGCCAACACAATCCATCACCACTTGCATCGAAGTAACCAGTCTTCATATATGTGGCTTCTTTGTCACAGCGAGAGCAACCACCACGACTACTAGGATTGGATGGCAATGCGTGCACAGTAACGGCCACACTGCATTTTTCTGATATTGAACTGTCACCCCGCCCTGGGTACAAACGGACAGTTTCAGTTCGGAAAAGAAAGGATTATAAATAATCTTCCCAAGCAACGCACGCTCCGAAGCAATTCCAATTTATTTCCTTCAGTGTGACTAGCTGTTCACTCGAGATTCTTTGATCAAGTTGGGGTTAATGTGATCCCATATACCTTGTAGAGGATGTTCAAGGTGATCAAGCTGGAAACCCGTTTTGAGCATGAAGAACTTGTCACAGTCAAAGTCGGTGGATGCGATGTCAAATTGAGACATGTAAATCACTTGAGGTGTCACTGCATTTGTTGACTTTGTTTTTCGCCGTTGCCAAAGTAAAGGGTTGTTTTATTCTAATTCGAAATGGCATCGGTCGATCGGTAGCTGCAGTGAAGGAGGGTGACATTCTCCACAAACGATATGTGCAAGATTTATTTTCTCGCCATCGTACATCACTTAGCAGCGGTAGTAAAAATACGCAACTTCCAGCGTGCATTCTTCGATGGTAATTAAAATAGTTCATCCTCACAGCTGGGAACTCGAAGATGATGCAGCTGATTTTACATTCTTTGTGTTGTGTTTTCTAAATTCCTGCGGCAAATTACAAATGCAAAAACTGTCGAAGAACGTGTGGAATTTGTCATAGTCAAGTTGCACAGTAGGCGATGGACGTTTGGAGCGCTTGGAAATTCGCGGCTTGGGCCAGGCCTACTTGTGTGCTTCCCAGAAATTTTCGACGTAAACATCTAATCAGAATGTTTGCACTGATATAAGCTGCATTTCCGTGGCTGCCAGAGATACCCGTTCCCGGGAAGTGACATTTCTTCTCAAAGAAGATCTCGTATCATAAAGATAAGATTGCACTATTCGTTGATAACATTCCCGTATAAAATATAGTGCAACTATCTGCAGGCCAGTTATATCAGTGTCACGGTCACGGGAGCTGTACGATGGCCGTCTTTGGAAGTGTTCTGCTGATAGTGCTGGTGCTGAACGTCGCTGCCCGTGGAGATCCATTTTTCGGAAATAATTACCAGATTCCACAAGGCGCGGCTTTAGCACGTTACGCATCCGCAGTCGTAACAAACCTCAACAATGCTCGCAACTCGCTGTCTTCGTACGTCCGGTATCCTCCGACGGCTTCGACAAGTTTAAATCAAGGCGCCATCGTGCTACGGGATTACATTGGAAATGTCAGCTTGTTGGTTGGTAACGTGTATACGGAAATTTCCAGAGCAGCCACCGATCGTTCAACGGCACCAGCAGTTGTATTCTCCAAGATCAATACCCGGTTGAACGATCTGCAGCCGTTGCTACAAAATGGATCGCTCTACGTAGATTCCTTGGCCAGCAACTTCGACTCGGAAGCTGACAACAGTACATCAAATTACTTTGCCACATGGAATGAAAACCTGCGTTCTAATACCCATCATCTTTCAAGGCTCCTTCAAAATGTCAGCCAGGTTATTGAGTCTGTTGCCGGAGAAGGCCTCAACACGCAACAGTTTATTGCGGCACTTTCTGTTGACGGCTTATTGCAAGACTTGGTGGATGCCGTTCAACAAGTGTCTGCCACTACGGGTGATTTGTCGAGCACCGTCAGTAGCTTGGTGGGAGCCATCAACACTGCCAACAGTTTCCGATTGACAGCCAATTCTCGACTGCAAACGAGCCGTCAATCTGCGAACACGGTCGTTAACAGCTACATCAGTTCGTCAAACGCTTCGTTTAACTCGATACTCGTCGCAACGGATACGCTGTTCAATCACCTGAAAACGGTAAACGATTCGTTCGTATTTCGTTGGCCACTACTCCTGAGCGATCGTGTAGAGCAAAAACTCGATCTGTTGAACCGTTCGATTGAAAATTTGAGCGTAAATCTACACTTTCGCCGCAGCGTCGTCGAATCACATTACACTTATACGCGTTACGTTTTTGCAAATGAAAACGAACCTCAGGCGAACCTGGACGAGGAATCCGAGCAGTTAACCAGACGGCTCGTAAACGTAATTAAACCAGATGGCTGTGCGTCCGATTTCAGGACTCAGTTTTTGGCGTTGCCAGGGACAGCGCAGACGCTGCTTAGTCAATGTTTCAACGGCCAATTGGGATTGGAGCGACAAGGGGCCAGTCAAGTGCTGTCGATTGCGAACAATTTTCTGCGAGGTTACGTCACCGCTGTCTACGATAGCTTGGAAATTTGCTACAGCCATCCGTATGAGAAAATGAACAGCTGCTTGGATGATGTAAGGATTGGCTGGATTAGCCCGGGTAGAGTGTTGAATTTTAAGATTTATGTTTTCTTTTCCACAGATTGTCGATACCATAGATTTTGGTGGGAAGTTCTTCCTTTTGGATACGGTGACCTTCTACCTGTTTGAGCAAGTGCAATCAGAATTGATAAACTGCAACTCCCGACTGCTTAAGTATGTTCAAAATGTTGGACTACGAGCAAATTGCCAATAATGAGTGTAAGATATTTTATTGAACAACAACATCAACAACAGTAATACACAGTAACAGTGGATTCAAACCAAAATTCACCAACGACCACGTGGTCGATTTCGTTTCTTATTATAGAAGCACATCTCCTGTAGGTTGTGATAATTAAGGAAGTATCCGATCTGGGCAATGCAGGTGTTGAAGTTGCTTTGAATCTCGCTATCGATGAGCGTTTCGATCTGCTTGGAAGCCATGAGAATTCGACCATTCGCCCAGGTGTTCTCGTAACCGTTCTGCAACGTTCAAAACACGTCAGAAAAATTCAGTGCTAATGTTCTTAAAAAAAATCTTACCAAATCCAGACAATAGGCTATCTTTTTTGGAGCATATCGGAAGCAGATGTCGAACGCTGCGTATGATGCGTTAATTGCACTCACTGCGTAGTTCTCGATCATGGTGTTGACGGTTTCGAAGCTTTTCTCCTCGTTGGTTGCCTGATCTACTAGACACGAGGTCACATGAGTCATCGTGAAGTTGGGGAAAGCCAGCAGCTTCTCGATGTAAGCTTCGGTGCAATCGTTTGAGAGCATTGGATCAGCGGAGACTTGAACCGTAACTTGTGTCATGTAGGCCATCGGAGCGGAAAAAAACGAGCGGGTCTTCCACTGTTCGATCTCCCGATGTTTGTAGAGACGGAGGTTCTCAAAATTGAGCATAACTTTCTGAATCATATTCTCCAGAGATTTCTTCAGCGCTATGAAGTAGCTGATGGTGGATTTGGGAAACATTGTGATCTTTTCCTTCATTTTTTGATACAGTTCTTCCTCGTAGGTACGTAGATTGTTCAAAGATTCGGTAACGTCTTCAATTAGAGTTGCCGATGCATTCAGATAGTTATCGATCGATTCATTGAAACCTCGCTGAGCAGCCATGGCTCGATTGGTGGTTTCTGCAGTCCAGGCCTCACCCTTTTGAATTGCATCGGAAACACGGCTTACGTGTTCGACCAGCTTGTCTGTCGTAGCGAGAAGATCATCCAGAGCTGGAGTTACGTCACGTTGACCAAACATCGCCTCCGATAGACCGATTGACGCAATCCTCATGTCGCTATTGATCGACCGGAACTGGTTGTGATTGTATAGATTGTAGTCCACGTTCTGCAGCAGAGAAATGCTATTGACCAATTCGTAACCATTCAGATACCGGATAGCCTCTATTAGATTCTGTTGTATCAACTCCAGGTCGTTCTCTTCAAACTTTTCAAACACTGGGGTAAATTTGCTAGTTAAATTCGACACGTATTCCAGCAGACCTTGAGAACCAAGCTTGAGATAGTCGGTCGTAGGCATATCGGATTTTAGGGGTTCAATCGAAGCCTGTGCGGAGGCTATATTCTCCAATATTGCCGTAGTCGCATTTACCACTTCTTCATCTTTGGCCAATGGGTTATCCGCTTTGGCAGAGCCAAAAAATAAAACCACGAGCAACCAAAGTAGCTTCGCCACTGACACCGTTCTCATTTCCTCGTGATTGTTCTGTTGCTGTCGATCGATCGATGCACTCACGCTTGGTTCTAGTTCCGTACTGAACTAAGGGAGGAAGCTGCCCTGGCGACTCCCGGTCATTGTAGAAAATGATTGCCTGTGCGCGCTCTGTGGTGGGGTTTGCGGAAAATTCGCTAATCACTGCATCAACACTCTGAATTGATGCCTTCCCCCTTGGACCAGCGCGAACGAACGCGTGCTGGTGATTCGAATATTCAACATCGCGCAGGTATAATTTATATAATACACGGCGAAAAACAGTAGCAGATGCATTTTTCTTTGCTAGGGTGGCTTAATAAGAAACAAAAAAAAAAAAACGCTCCTTAATATTTTGTTTGTCATCAAGGTAGCCATGACTGATAAAAGCTCACATATTTACACTGAATGAAATGTTTTGATTATTTTAAGACAAATTATCACCGGGCTTCATTGCCAACCACCCTCGGTTCATCTTTGAGCGACGTATGGAAATACTCATCACTATCCATCACCGGGCTACACTTTGCGCGGGTTGCAATCAGCTAGAAATTAATCGCGTGCACGCTATTGAAGCCTCTCCACCCGGGAACTAACGAGAGAAAACAATGGCCGATGGGTCGCTATTCTTTCTCGTTAGGTTAGACACTGCGGGTTTGGATGAACGGACGGGTACAGAGGACGCGGGATGTTCTATTCAACCCTATCTCAAGGTCACTGGATGATAATGGCTTAGAAATAAAACATGGCATATTTTAGATACCATTGCGAGATCAACATGGCCACCTTACTGTTGGAGCTCTGGTATTTCATGATTTCTAAATGGAAATCAAAATTACTGTTTGAATAATTGAAAGGCAAATGGGTTAAAAATCACAGTCCTGGGGAAACCCCTGATTCCATACCTGTCGATCCGGTTGATCGGGAAACCACCGAGTCTCGGCATAGTTCGCCATTAATATTCCTATTGCGCCGCACGCAATTGCTTATAACGATCGTAGTGGAGAAATAAATTGTCGGAGTATGATAATTTAGCGGTGTCGCAACTTTTCATCCGATACCTACATTTCCAATGGAATCAGACATTCCGGTGACGCTCTCAATGTACAACAGGCGAAATGCTCAAAAATTGTGATTTTAATCAGAATCAAATTCAATACTAAACTACTCATAAAAGTAAAATAAATCATTCGAAAGATCAAGGTCAAACATTAGCTGACTCCTATGTATTCCGCTCATTCTAGATGCTGAGTTAAGGTATTCAACATCAATGTAACTGATAATTTGAACTGTCGAATTGCAACAACGAAATTAAGCTATCCGAATAATTAACGTACCTTCTATAGCGTTGTTGTCGTTTGGTCCCATGGCTAGCTGATTAGCGCCTGCTTTGATTTGTTTTCTTAAAGGACAATCAACACGGAGTAATATCACTTCTAGATTTTCTTTTTTTTTTATTACACTCGTCGGATTGATTTCACAAACAATTAACGTTTTTTTCCTTATCAATGATTGTACACTAGGAACTTGTTCTTTGTTTCTTTTGGTTTAAATTGTTGTTTAAAGATGTGCTTAACCACCACCAAATGATTGCTTCATTTTTGAAAGTCTATCGTCAAATTCTGTAAAAGACACAAAAAATTACTGTCCGTATTCGGAAGACAAGAAGGATTCGAAACGCCAAGCAGAACCGTGCACTATGCTAGCAAGCGTGAATGTCACTACAGCAAGCCGGTGAAACGGGGAAATAGAGTTCTCTCTGTTAAACTTGATACTCCCGGCTGTTGGTCGATCGCCATCAGAAACTGGTTTTACATGTTTCCAAAGCATCTATTTAGGATGATGAGCTGCGGTCGCTACACCTTGCGGTATGCGAAGCTACAGGGGGAAGAGGATGTTTTGCTTAAAAGCTTAAAACCAATAAAATTAAAAACAACAACAAAAGTCAAAGCAAGCGCGAAAAAAAAAAACACAATCTGAGGTGTTCGTTTATTGGAAGGAATGGGGAAAGGTTTGGTGCTACTGGTGCTATTGCGAGGGGCTGAATGTAGTTGTGAAGGAATTAAATCGCAAACTCGTGTTTGTTGGTGGGCATATATTCCAGTTTGCAAAAAAAATGACGGCTCTCGGTATGATTGTAGGTTCAAAAGGGGTGGTAAGGTCGGTCCACCAAACGATAACTGTTGAAAGTGATTCTTGCGTTGTTGTTGAGAGCAAGTATCATTCTCCCTGGATCTGGCATTTTCGTGCGTATGTTAATATGTTTAAGAGAAAAAAAAAACAGCGTAGCTTCAATCTGGCCGCCCTGCCATACAGGTCCCCGCATTCGTGCTTGCCTCTGATGGAATAACTTGAATGGGCGGAAAAGCTATCACGTTTTCAGCGGATGATCACTGCTTTTCTTCTTCTTCTCCAAAACGCCAAACATTTTAATTCGTTAGTGACCTTGACCTGGTTGAACTCAAACACTCATAAACACACAGTAACAATGTAAAACATATCTTCTTGTGAAACATACTTTTTTCCAACTGATTAAAATTCGAACTGAATAAAAGCGTTTCTTCTCGGAGACATCATCCAACGGAACTCTCGACTAAGATTCTCGAAGGTTGCGATCGATCCGAAATTCGCGACACTTTGAAACGGCACTCTGATTGTAACTGAAAGGAGCAGAACCGTTTGGTCGGATTATGAAAGTAAACGAAAGACGACTAACTATAAACACACAGATAGCGTGAGTACACCATACAATATAAACAGTGTGTATAAAATCGCCACGTCCGTCAGGTTGTACGGCGATCAAGGCGGAAGAAGAGCAGTGGGTGAGGATAGGAACCAGATGAACATGTAAGCATCACGTAACACATGGCAGTAGCTCGATCGTCGATTGCTTTCTGCGGCGGTATTGGTTACAGTATAGACTGTAAACAAGCGACTAAACGAGTGAGTAGCTGAACAAAACAAAATCAAAAATGAAATAGTCATGAATCAATGTTAGTGGCGGTGCGGTTGGGCTGCACACAAACACATTCACAGGAATCTGATCAAAACGACCGGAAAAAAAGTCTTTCGGTGTAAAAGTTAATTGAGGCGCGCATGCACCCCACCGCGCACAGTCTACTGCGATCGCAGTGTGAGCGCGCGCAAATACAACGAACGAAAGTCTACAACACTGGCCTTAATGTGTATGGGATTTGGTGGCAGTGACGTCAGAAGCAAAGTAGTGATATGAAACGGTCACACTGACGGCCGGAGTTTTCGTGAATGGGGAAAACCCTACGCTTTGGGTTTTACCAAGCACATGCTGAGCGGTCACCATCGTCGTCTCCGCCTCACTTTCCCCCTCAGTGGGGAAGATCCCGACCATCTTCTTGAATTCGAAAATGCTGGAGAGAAAGAGAGAAAGAGTAGCCAGTGCACGAGTTGACTAATCCGCTAGGCAATTATTGCTACTTGTTCTCGATTAGGCAGGTGTTTGAACGGAGCGAGGCGGGATCGGTAGCCAATCTCAGCATCCATTATCTCTGGATGCTGTTGAGAGGCTTGTTTTCGAAACATGTCAGTAGGGTTGAGCGGAGTCGGGTTTTTCCAGCACAGGTGGTTTGACCCAAAACATCATGATGTTAGAACCCGTCCGGGAAAGGTGAAGTTGAATCAATCATGCAAGTATAAAACGGGAATGCAATGGGAGGATGGAGAATTGCGTCATCGCTGGCAACGGCATAACAGGGGATCCCGCAAGCAGTGCTGATGTTTACAAAGCAACGGGATCGTATCTTCGGTGCACGTGGTTGGAATATCAGAGAGCATGGGGAAATTGTTGGTACGAAAGTGAGTGACGATATATGGTGGATGGAGGCTATTCCTATCGAAGCGTAGTATTCCTGCTCGTTATCAGGCAGAGCAAATTTATGGCCATTCCAATGTTGAACAACGACACTGATAAAATTCATACTTTTTTCTGGTAGGTATATCCAAATTCGTAAAGATTTCTGCGTTCAGTGCAGAACGATCCAAGTAGCCTGATTCAGAGGGTTGTAGAGTTTGAGTTTCCTTTTTTTTGCATGAGAATGTTATCATTTTGGAAACGTCATAACGTCAAACGTCGGAGCATAATCGTAGGAAAACCTGTTTTTTATACTGCTACAACGTATATTGTGACGATGCGTGGCATGTTATATTTGGGTTCAAACTATAATCATCAAGTATGGAAATTTTAAAGTCAAATCGGCTTAAACCTTGTGGACAGTGTAGGAGGGAGTGAAGGTTCAGGTTCCAAGCCAAAAATATTGTACAATATTTATAGAAACGAACAAATGTGCACTCCAATGGCTTGAAAGCAATATAAAAAAAAAATTAGTAAAACACCGTCATTTTTTTAAATTATGACCTAACTCACGCATCTGTCGAATATAGAGAGTGAGATCCTCGGACAACTATAACGGTCATTTCTGTTTTCAGTGTTGTTTTTGGTCACTGAATATTGAAGTATTTATGTATGCTAATTTATTTTAATTTAATCGACTGCGGGTATAATAGCTTCAAAATTTGGTCTTAAATATGCAGATGTATTAGACAATCTCTCCACATCTTGAAGTCATTGTTAGCAACTAGACCTGAAAGTTATTCCAGCTGGATTCAACAAAATGTCAACTAAAGCATTTGCTACAGATGCATAGATCTTTTGGATCAATATTTATCATGCCCTCTGGCGGCGAAATTGTGAACTAACGAAAAAAGGCAGATTTTAAATTTTAGCTACTTGCGACCCATTTTCAAAACTACTAGTTCTGGCTTTTTTCTCACAGATGGCAACCTCCTCCGTGGTGCCGTAGTTTTTGTGTAATCGAGCAAAAATGAAACATTTACATACATTCTCAGATTCACAACTTTCAAGCTCATACATTTCAAGGCGGGTGGCCTCTCACATGTGACAACTGGCAGATGCGGACTCCATCGGTTAATTTTTAAATCCATTTTTTTGATAGGGAAAAAGTGCTTTAGATAATAAAAATGTGCTTTCGCGGGGTGCAAAAAGATCTTATTTTTTCAGCATGGCATAAAGATAAACACACAAACGTAATGAGTGTGGAAACAGGAAAGTCGACTCTATGGCATTAGACTAAATACCATTACCCCGAATTCCATTATACCGAATGGAAGTAACCAGAATGTTCAACTTCTCAACTTACATTTACAAGAAATCATTCCAAACACTTTAAGAAAGAAGGAAGGAAATATTTCCTGTCTTATTACAATTTTAAAAGAAAAAAAAAATATTTACGTCCTTATCAGTGCAGGTATTAAAAGTTGTAAATATTCATAAGATTCGGAGTACAGGGCTTGTCATAGAACCCTTGACTTTTTTTGTTGATTAGAGTTTAACAAATTTCATCAAGGCTCGTTTTTTTAGATAGTGGAAATGGAGGTTTGTTAAACGTTGTGGAGGTAAAGGGTGTTACGATCAAAATATGGTCGACTTAAGCTTGACGCAATTCTTTTAATCAAGCATTTAAAATACACGAACACACCTCATTTTGTAGGTGTGTGCGTGCAGAATGATGTCTTTATTTCTATTTTGACATTTGCTCTTCAGTTATCGAAACAGCATCCAAGCAAGAGGAGGAACGCATCACAATTTTGCACGCGCATCGCGAAAATCCGAACTACTCGCACGCCGAGTTAGCGAAATCGTTAAAAGTGGCCAAATCAACTTTCACCAACGTAATAAAAGTTATCGGGGAACGTTTGTCGACAGCCAGGAAGCCTGGATCGAGGAAAATCAAAAGGCGGAGGCCGCAGCGACGACACAAATAGTGGCCAGTGCTTTCAACCAGAACCCCAACCTCTCCGTCCAAACTGTCGTAAACAAGCTGGGAGTGTCATCTACAACCGTACATCGAGCAAAAAAAAGCGAGTTGACTTATAAGAAGGTAGTAATCTTTTACCAATATCCCTTTCCCTTTGCCCCCTTCCAATCCTCTAAATAAATGTACTTATTAATCTCGAGTAAACCGCGAGTATTCGGCCCCCATTCTACTAACTTTAGTTGTAAAACAAATTATAAAAAATTACATTTAATTTGGCTCCGCAAAGCTACCGCATTTGAGCATTTACAAATAAATGGATTATAAAAAAAAAGAAGGTAGTAACTCCAAACCACGACGATATACAAAACAAGACGGCTAAAACACGATCCCGGAAGCTGTACACGACAATGCTGACAAAGTTTGGCAGAGTTCAAACAGCTTTCTGAGCAGGAGTTTTATAAAGGAGTTTTAAGACGGCAAACATTTTCAAGCATATGAAACTGTCGAAGTTCGCTAAGAAATATCTGGTTTGGCAGCCTGTAACTGTGGCTTGAAAAGCGACATTTTCATTGCAACCGGGACCGTCAACCAGGAAAACTTACGTGAACAAGTGTCTGGAAAAAATACGTCTGCTGCCTTTCCTGCAGCAACACGATTGTTCCATGCTGTTTTGGCCAGATTTGGCATCCTACCATTACGGAAAAAGGCCATGGAGTGGTATGCCACCAACAACGCGCAGCTGTTGTCTAAGGACAAGATTCTTTCCAACTCGACAGAGCTCCACCAAGCGGAACCTGAAGAAGGCCCAAACA